AGAGAGAGAGAGAGAGAGAGATCGATCTCCACGAACAAAAGAACAATGGGTGGCCGAAGACGAGCTGAAAGACATGGTCAACCTTTCGAGCTAAAGCATTAATGGTTTCACCCAAGAGATGTGTATGCCTGCCTTGGCCACCACTTGATACGTATCATTCAGAAGCCATGCATGTTGCCAAGACTCGTCCTCGCCAAGCTTTAATTGCTTTACGTACTTTCCATGTCGTCCAAACTTACACGCAATGGATAAGGAGGCGCCATGACTTACGTGTTTGGGTGTCATTGGGTCGGATCCATCCAGAACTCTCCACATCCGAAGGAGAGTCAAGTATACAGTTCTATGGACATCATCGGATGCATGTTTTCATGCAGGATCCGTATCCGATTCGACAACCTAATGCATCCGCTTTAAAAGATCCATGACATGGTACTACCCTTCTTCTCCTGCCATCTTACCATCAGCATTCGGAGGGACACTTCTCCTGGATTCATAGTCGTCTTAATTATTCATAGTAGGGACCCATCTCAATAAAATAGTGTACTAAAATTGACGATGCATGGCTTTTGACCTTTGATGTGTGGTCAAATCAATTCGAACATATTCTGCAATCGAGACGAAGATGATGATGTTTGGTCATTAAGCTTGAGATCTAATTGGTTTGGTTAGCTGAATCAATAGCTTAATCATCGAGATCTCAAGACGTATCGATCGATTTGAGCTGAATTGAGATAGAGTAATAAATACATGTTCATGCCTGACATCGAAATATATTGATATGGTTAATAAGTAAGTACTTAGTAAGTAAGCAATCAACTGGAAATTAATCTAATAATTAATTATGTGCCAAACAAATCAAACAAATTATATTAATTCTTAATATCAACAAAAAATATACAAAATACAAACTCAAATGCCTCAGTAAAATAATGCACGTAACGATGATGTATAACTCATAACTTGGCCTTCTGCAGTGTCACACATATGTGCATGTCGTTCATGATCTACATCAATGAAATATATCTATACTGCCACCCAACAAATGCCTTCCAATGTACTGTAAAATATAGAGAAGAGAAATAGAGATGTCTTCCTTTCAAATCTCACAAGCATATCTGTTGCATCACCAATTCATGCATTCAACATCTCCCGTTCATGTACGCATGCACTGTCCATCTCATCCCTCCGTATATATATATATATATATATATATATATATATCCAGACCTCGCGCTTCTTTTCTCCCTCCAACTGCCGCTCCCTTCCCTGTCCCCTTCTTCCCTCCCCCTCTCTGTCTCTTTCTCTCTCTCTCTCCCTCCCCTCGATGGGGTACAGCCTTGAGAACCCGCTTGATTACTCCGGAGACGATGGGAAG